CATTTACATCGGGCGTACTTGTGACTGGGTCGCGTATAATGAGTGGATCAATTTGAAGAAATGCGAATTAAATAGAGGCAGTAAATGACCGCATACCACGCTTCGTCCCTCCCGTTTCCCAGGATCGCCGACGGTCTTATCTGTGCGTTATCGGAGATAGCTTGATTGGCCCGTCGCGCATCATTGGAATTTTTTGGCTGCCGCATCACATCTTCCCCACAGATTATACATAAACCCGGAGGGAGTCATTCGTGCTCTGCTCAACTGGGTCGAGCTATAAGCCTGCAATTGCACCCGTCGGCCACCGAGCGACCTTCCTCCCGCGCGTTCGACGCCTAATCATCCATCCTCATCCTCTGTCGAGCCCGAAGCTACCCAGTTGCTTGACTGCCTGCAAATGGCTCTCTGCGGACGTCTAGCACGTCGCGTACCTTCCCTTACAGGTCACACCCGCTCTGTTGCTCCTTCCACATACTCTCGAAGTTTCACAACCCGAAGTGCTCGGCCGTTGACTTCGCTCCGCTCCAGCACAGAGTCACCTGCCGCCCTCCGGCAGCTGCGGGCATTCACAAAGGTCGCGTCGACATGGAATAAGACACAGACTGCGCCTAATGCAGAGGCATACCTGAAGAGCGGCGTCATTTCTGGCGCGCAGAACTTGGTCGATGTCAAGAAAGTCCTAGTCATTGGTAGCGGTGGTCTCAGCATTGGTCAAGCCGGAGAGTTCGATTACTCAGGTGCGCATACATTCCCACACGCATACAAAGTTGCGCCATGCTAATCAAACTTCAGGTTCGCAAGCACTCAAGGCCCTGAAGGAAGCTGGCGTCAAGTCGGTTCTTCTCAACCCTAACATTGCTACCATCCAAACATCCCACGTGCTCGCCGACGAAATCTACTACCTGCCTGTAACTCCCGAATACGCCGAATATGTCATCCAGAAGGAGAGGCCCGATGGCATCTTCCTCAGCTTCGGTGGACAAACTGCGCTGAACCTTGGTGTACAGATGGATGCCAAGGGCATTTTCGAGAAGTACGGCGTCAAGGTGCTCGGAACCAGCGTCCAGACTTTGAAGACCAGTGAAGATCGTGACCTCTTCGCGCGCGCGCTCGACGAGATCAACATTCCCATCGCCAAGTCGATTGCCGTTTCCACTGTCGACGAGGCACTGGACGCTGCCGAGAAGGTCGGATACCCCATTATCGTCCGTGCTGCTTATGCGCTCGGTGGTCTCGGTTCAGGTTTCGCGAACAACCCAGAGGAGTTGAAGAACTTGTCAGCTCGTTCCCTCACTCTTTCACCCCAAATCTTGGTTGAGAAGTCCCTGAAGGGCTGGAAAGAGGCTGAGTATGAGGTTGTGCGCGACGCAAGCGACAACTGCATCACGGTCTGCAACATGGAGAACTTCGATCCCCTTGGTGTACACACCGGTGACAGTATCGTTGTTTCGCCCAGTCAGACATTCAGCGACGAGGAATACCACATGCTCCGGTCTGCGTCCATCAAGATCGTCCGTCATTTGGGAGTCGTTGGCGAGTGCAACGTGCAATACTGCCTGCAGCCAGATGGCCTCGACTACAGGGTTATCGAAGTCAACGCTCGTCTTTCTCGTTCATCCGCATTGGCATCCAAGGCCACTGGTTACCCTCTCGCGTACACCGCGGCCAAGATTGGTCTTGGACACACTCTCCCTGAATTGCCCAACGCTGTCACCAAGACCACCACCGCGAACTTCGAGCCCAGCTTGGATTACGTCGTCACCAAGATGCCCCGATGGGATCTCAGCAAGTTCCAGAACGTCAAGCGCGACATCGGCAGTTCCATGAAGTCTGTCGGTGAAGTCATGGCCATCGGACGTACATTCGAGGAGTCTTTCCAGAAGGCTTGCCGCCAAGTCGATCCCAAGTACCTCGGTTTCCAGGGTGAGAAGTACGGCGAGAGCCTGGACGAAGAGCTCAAGAACCCCACCGATCGCCGATGGCTCGCCGTCGGTCAGGCGCTCTTCCACGAAGGCTACACTGTCGACAGGGTTCACGACCTCACCAAGATCGACAAGTGGTTCCTGCACAAGCTCCAGAACATCGTCGACTGCACACACGAGCTTGAGGAGATAGGCAGCTTGTTCGGCCTGAAGAAGGAGATCATCCTCAAGGCCAAGAAGCTCGGTTTCTCTGACAAGCAGATCGCCAAGGCTGTTAACAGCACTGAAGACGAGGTCCGCGCTCGCAGGAAGAGCTTCGGAGTCAAGCCATGGGTCAAGAAGATTGACACACTGGCTGCAGAGTAAGCAATGTCCCTATCTTAACCTCATGCGAGACACATACTGACTTGTTTACCATAGATTCCCCGCAGATACGAACTACCTTTACGTGAGTATACTGTCCTCTTTCATGGCTTCGCGGGATTTGGAGATTTCCACGGATTCAAGTTTTAAGCTTTTAAACATGCGAGAACCTTTCATCTACCCCATTGCAGTCGCTAATCTACCATTCTAGACCACCTATAACGCCTCCTCTCACGATGTAACCTTCGATGACCATGGTATCATCGTTCTCGGCAGCGGTGTCTACCGTATCGGAAGCTCTGTCGAATTCGATTGGTGTGCCGTCAACGCTACCCGCTCCCTCAACGAGCTCGGAAAGAAGACTGTCATGATCAACTACAACCCCGAGACATACTCTGTAGGTGGCATGAACGCACACGTTGGGCCGAACTAACCGTTTTCTAGACCGACTTTGACGTTGCTGACAAGCTATACTTCGAAGAACTCAGTTACGAGCGTGTCATGGATATCTACGAGTTGGAGACTGCCAGCGGCGTTGTTGTCTCTGTCGGTGGTCAACTTCCCCAGAACATTGCTCTCAAGCTCCAGGAGTCTGGAAAGGCGAAGGTTCTCGGAACCGACCCTCACGACATCGACAAGGCCGAGGATCGCCACAAGTTCTCTTCCATCCTGGACTCAATTGGTGTTGATCAGCCCGCCTGGAAGGAGCTTACTTCCTATGAGGAAGCAAAGAAGTTCGCAAACTCCGTCGGATACCCAGTTCTCGTTCGCCCATCATACGTCCTGTCAGGTGCTGCTATGACTGTCATCCGCGGTGAGGACGAGCTGAAGGAGAAGCTCCTTGCCGCTTCCAACGTCTCGCCCGACCACCCAGTTGTCATCACTCAGTTCATTGACGGCGCTCAAGAGATTGACTGCGACGCTGTCGCCTCCAACGGAAACGTCCTTGTCCACGCTGTCAGTGAACACATTGAGAACGCCGGTGTTCACTCCGGAGATGCCACCCTCGTACTGCCCCCTGTCCACCTCGACAAGCGCATCCAGGAACGTGTCAAGGAGATCGCAGACAAGGTTGCCAAGGCCTGGAACATCACTGGTCCCTTCAACATGCAGATCATCAAGGAAGAAGTTGAGGGCTCCGAGCCTAACCTCAAGGTCATCGAGTGCAACCTCCGCGCCTCTCGTTCCTTCCCCTTCGTCAGCAAGGTCCTTGGTACCAACTTCATCGAAGTTGCTACAAAGGCTCTCGTTGGCCGTGACGTTCCCCAGCCAACTGATCTCATGAGCGTTGAGAGGAACTACCTCGCCACCAAGGTTCCCCAGTTCTCCTGGACTAGGTTGGCGGGTGCTGACCCCTACCTTGGCGTAGAGATGTCATCTACTGGTGAAATGGCCTGCTTCGGTAAGGACCTGGTCGAGGCCTACTGGGCCTCCGCGCAATCGCAGATGAACTTCCGTCTTCCCCAGCCCGGTGAGGGTCTCCTCTTCGGTGGTGATGTCACACCCGGTTCGCTCCACTCGAACTCCCTTATCCAGATCGCCAAGTACGTCCACGCACTTGGCTACAGGTTCCTTGCTGCCAACAAGGACGTCAAGGAGCTTTTGGAGAAGAACACCGAGGGCATCAGCGTCGACGTCATCGAGTTCCCCAAGGATGACAAGAGAAAACTCCGTGAGGTGTTTGAGAAGAACGACATCCGCGGCTGCTTCAACCTGGCCAAGTACAGGGCGAGTGGCCTGTTTGATGAGGACTACGTAATGAGGAGGAACGCGGTCGACTTCGGTGTTCCGCTATTCATGGAGCCCAAGGTAAGTTCATTGTCCTGATATTAATAAGATGAGAGGCTAATTGCAATGTAGACTGCTGTTTTGTTCGCTCAATGCATGAGCGAGAAGCTGCCCAAGAAGGAGGGTATCCCTAGTGAAGTCAGGTCATGGAGCGACTTCGTTGGCGGTCGACCATAGAGGAAGAAACTTGTTGGTTACTACGGCAATGCAGATATTTTATCGGGAAAAGGAATGGTTCATTGTAAGAGATATATCCAGATGTAGGGTCGGGTGGGGTCAAGATCTTGGGACGGAATGATCGGGATGAAGATTATGTTCTCATGTGTATAGCGTTTCCAGCTTGTGATCAGCTCTATGGGTCGGTCAGCGGGAGTTGTATCAGTTCCTTTTACTTTCAATCTAGTTGAAAAGTTTGCCGCTCATGTGGCCAGGTAGTCAAGGATACATTGGTTCTACTTTAGTCCGCTGATCTTTGCAGGTATCGTGCTAAAGTGGATGTGCTGTGATACCACGAGAAGATGGTGGGGCATTTCACATCATTTTTTATACATGGAAATCACAATGCACATTCATATCGACAGTCTAACGGCAATAAAAAGCTGGAATAGTTGCTTGAGCAACAGGTACGCTGGCGTCTACATTAGTACGAAACAAGGAGTTAAGAAAGATCTTGAGGCAATGTAGTCTTCTGGGTTGTCTGTGTATTTCGATAGCTAGGTTGAATCCCCTGGGATGAGGTGCTGGAAGCCACGTTTTGTTTGTTGTCATGCGCTTTCCCTTTGTAGATGAGAGGCTCTGGGAGGCAGGTGCGACCACTGGGCAGAGTGAAGCTGAGCCTAGTCTTGGCACTACCTCTTACCTCGTCACTTCCACTTCTACTTACTCTTCAACTTCCCACAGCTACCCTTCGAAACGCGCAAACTCCATATGAACAAGATGCCAACTTATTACGATACCATCATCGATCCTTCGGGCGAGAGACTTTCTAGCGAAGCCGCCGAAGTCATGTAAGTTTGAAGTAGCACGACGTTTTGCGAAAGCTAACGCGATGTATAGCTCCGAGATGAACCGCCAGCGCTCACCTCTTCTTCGCCTACCTGCTGAGATACGGAACAAGATCTACGAATACGCGCTCGGTGGTATGGAGCTTCGCGTGTCCTACAGAAGCAAGGAACTAGGCGTCGTTTCTGCAATGTCTTATGATCCGTCCGTCTCGCTCACACCTCTCCATCGACGCGTCGGCTTGACGCTCGTGTCTCGGCAGCTCTACGCGGAGACCAAGATTCTACCATTCGAACTGTGCACTATGGATGTCATAAGGTCCTTGTTCTACAATCAAATAAAGAGACTGAACACCACTCAGCGTCAGGCCATATCAACAATACGTACGCATTACATGAACGCTAGAGATGGCACAATATGGACTATTTTGTGGTCAGAGGTCAGATTGCTGACGGGGCTGAAGCGCGTGGAAGTTTTCTGCTGTCCAACAAATTTGGGACTATCGGGGCGTATACATTCAGTCGAGGCTATCAAGGAGGGACTCGGTCGAGTTGATGTAGACGTCGTGCTCGATTCTTAGGAACTTTGTGAAGACTTCTGCTTAGCTGTCGGCACGAGGCTGTCGAAGATATGGATTCATACGACCCCAGCTGGCCAATGAAATCTGGTCATGGCGTAGAGGCAAATATCGGAGCAAAAGATGGGAAAGGGTGCTCTTTGGCTGACTGAAAGAGGATTGAGCTATTCACCTGAACGAACCAAGCATTCTTTACATCACTTGCACCCATCTTTTGTATTCCGAGTGTCTGATGAAGCGAACCGTGACAGAGAACCGCATATTCAACTTGCTCTTCAATCCTTGCTCTTCATTCCCACGCGACAACGGAATGAATGCCTACGCAGATCCCGCAGTATAGCTTCACAGGGCAATACATAACAAGGAAGTCACACCATATCCATTCACCCAACACCATCAACATCGGGCGTGATACAAAAATCTTGCTCCATGTATTTGTTACCCCTGTCACACCTAAAGTCTACTTAACACTCTTCCGCAACTCTAGACATCCTACAACTTGCACTCAACCATGTCCGACAAAGAAAATATGATGGCTGAGGCAGATACAATGTACGTCTGAACGTTGAAATCATCATGACAGACCCCCATGCTAACTACATCAACAGCACACAACGCAACCAGCTCGAGTCGCCACTCCTAAAGCTGCCAGGAGAAGTTCGAAATAAGATCTACAACTACGTCTTCTCCGTCGGCAGCGTCTACTTCGGTCGCTCACATCACCACTATCGCACGAGCGAGACAGACTACCAACCGGAAGGATGTGAGCCCACCGATCTACTAGACGTCACATCGACGTGCCGACAAATCCGTTCAGACACCTCTACGCTACTATTTAAGAACAACGTAATCATCATAGACGACCAAAAGATTTTCAAGATAGTTGAGCAGCTAGAGCCGCACCAGCTCGAAGCGATCAAAGCTCTAGAGATAATCTTCTACGACATAAAGGGCTGTATGCCGAACTTGACTACTTTGAGCAGAATGTTCGCCAGGGAGTTCAAAAACATGCTGGGACTCGAGAGGGTAAGCGTTAGGTTGATCTGTTGGCTCCAGGAGGATGATGTACTCGAGCGCGAGTGCGAGGCATTTTGCGAGGCGCTTAGGAAAAATACTCGGCGTAAGCCGATTGAAATTATAAATGCGTTGAAGCATGAAGACGACGATGAGGGGGAAACGGACGTGGATGAAGAAGAGACAGCGTCCGACGAAGAGACAACGCTCGACGAAGAGACAACGCCCGACGAAGAAGCTGAGCCTGAGGACGAGGGACTGGTGGCGATGACGATGAGTCTACATCTATGAAAAGTAAGGCATCGGACACCAAGACTATAGCGGAAGAGGACGACCCTATGGAGAAGTAACACTATCCTACTTGCAACTGTAGTCAATGAACGTCTTGCAGAGTACAACTTCACAGGCTGCTCCGATTTTGATAGCACCTCATACAAGGGAAAAACTGAACAGGTCTGCAGACTGCATTGACCCAAAACCTTGCAAAGGAGGTGACCTAAAGTCAACGTAGGCTCCAGGCTGTTCAGCTTTTCCCTAGGTTGGCGTGATAGCAACGCATGGATTGTAAGAATAAAATGCCTATATTGAGTCTATAACTGCCATCGTAGCTAACAGACCAGCAGTCTGGATACATTATGCGTGCATGCAACAGCACCAACTATCTTCTCACTTTCCATGGAGTCGTAGCCACGACCCCAAGACTTCCTAACTTTCAGACCAAGCCCAACGCCAAACCAGCGCCATGCCGAGTGATATCAATATGCAAACTGTCGTAGTAGAAAGGAATGAAAACGCCCGCAATACCTGCAAATTCGTGTTCGCTAAATGCTATGCATGTCATGTCATCACCGTTATCGTGGATGCTTAGACGCGGATTCCCGCGCCAGAACCCCATCGTAGCTTCCGCAGACCGAGGCCAGTGCCCTTCATGCCTGCAGCAGCTTCCTTACCGCAGCGTCCGGCCTCGGAACCTGCGGTGCCAATCTGACCCATCGCCTCAGCATGTCCAGTTTCTTTGCCAACGACATATCCGGCCGAGAAACCGATAGCGCTGACAAGGACGACGACACCAGCACTGACAACCCAGGTAAGCAGCGTCGGGCTGATTTCCTCTATCATCGGGGTTGTCTTGCGTGCTTTTTTGACGGTACGGCGGTCTTTGCTGCTGCTGCGAGCACCGGCTACCGGCGGACTGGCTTTGCGCTTGGACTTCTCGGAAGGGCTGCTACTGGTGCTGCATGGGGATGATGCGGCCTCTTCGGATATGTTGCCCAAGGCCACGGACTCTGGCACCATGCGCAGGGAGGATGGATCGACTCGTGTGGATGAGGGAGTGTTCGCGCGCGGTTGGCCTGGCTTCGGGAGGCCACGCACAGCGGCGGCAGCCGAGAGCAGCGTGGACAGGCTGGCGCGGAGGGCTTCGTCGTGGTCGGGTTGGTAGTTGGGTGCCATGGCATTGTAAGGGTTATGCTGAGGGTAGGAGTGCTGTCGCTGTCCAGCTGGCCTCACGTTCCTACGAGGTGTGTACAGGGTGCCGGACTGCGACCGAATAGCTTGTTGGTTATTCGGGTGCGAGAAGGCGTTTGGCCGTGGCTGGAACTCCCGTCTAGAGGAACGTGGGTAGTTGACCGCCGTCGCATTCTCATCGTCATCATCTTCCCTCTCAGACATGGTCTCCGAAGACGCGACAGACTGCGGAGTTTGCCTCAAAGGTGACGGAGCGACGGCCTCGTTGGAGGATGTCATGACCCTGTCCGACTCGCTTTCGCTCTCTTCATACTCCTCCTGACTGCTGTTCCCTCCCGCTGTGATGCGATGTCCAGTCCCTATTGAGAACTGACCGCCGCCTCGTGAGCGTCTGTTGGGCCGCCTGTGCGCGTTGGAGTCGTGCTGCACCGTGAGGCCCGTTGTGATGATCTCGTCGGTCGCAGAGGATAGGGAGGTGGACGAAGGCGCCGATGCGAGATCAATCCATGACTCTGTGTACGATGTGTCAGCTGTTGCTCGACATACAGATGCAGTGAAGTACTGAAAGAGAACGGATCATACCCTCTGAGCGTTGCCTTGAAGACGCAGCGACATGTCGAGAAGGCGGCATGGCTTGGTCCTGGTGGTTCGCGTCGTCGGCCCCTATGTTCTGTCTGCCTGCTCGCGGTGGACGGTGATCGTGCATCGCACCCTGACCTTCACAAATCCGAGCCTTGAAAAGAGCTCTGCGGCGCTGGACCTCAGCGATAGTCCTTATATCCCCGAGCCCTAGGTTGACCGGTGGTGTGGAGGTATGCGCTCAAGTGGATCCCAAGGGCCGTTCCGACTTCGGTTCTTTGTTAGGACTCGGAACGCTACAGCTTGTTGATGGAAGCAAGAAAGGCCAGCGCAGCTCTGAAACAGCTTATCGGGGCCCAGAAACAAGGCACGGCACCCAGAGCCACCGAATCCTGTCGCGGCGACGCTGCGAGTCGTCGTTGGAGATAAGGTAAGGCCGCGGACGAGCTGACGCTATGTAGACTGGCTCCCCAACTTGCGCACGGCCAGGGTCTGGGCGTAATGACGTTTCGTGGGGAAGGGTGGAAAGCGGAGATCACGGTAATCGCCTTGGGCGGGGCGCGAAGGAACACGACAGAGAGCGACCGTAGCAAGCGAAAGGAGACGAGTTGATGTAAGGAGAGATATCGCAAGGTCGAGGTTGGAGTACGTAGACGGCTGCTCGTTCCTGACCCCGTGTCCCGTCTGGTCGTTGGCGTATGACCATTGGCAGTAGGTGTGGGTGACTGACGAATCAGACGTCGCTCACTCCCCTTCCTATCCAAGCCTGGCGAGTCTAGACATGCTCACCTGCCTTTATCCAGGACATGCGCATCTACCTCCTGAGCGCATTTGCCCTGTGGTCTGCGGTGTGCGAGACATGGTCGCGTAGTCGCGCAGCCTCATCTCTCAGTGCTACGTACAACCATGCCAAAGTCTATACAGATCCATCATCATTCCGCCCTCCTCGAGGCTTGTTTACCACACGCTATCTATAACGTCATTATCTGGGGTGTGAAGCGAGTCGAGTTGCGCCACGTAGACTTTGTTCTTCTTCGACATGGACTTGACAAGGGAGGCCAGCTCTCCCGTGCATGCCTTGCAGGAGATTCGCGTCCTCCAATACCGCATACTGTAGGTTCGCTCATCTGTATCGAGTTCAAGTTCTCCTTTCCTTGATCCCCATACTGCTCTTGGAGTACGTCACAGGCTTGGTATGAACAACTGGGGAGACCTTGCAATACAAATAGCGATCCTACGAATGAGATGCAAACACACCGTCCAGCTCGGTGTCCAGTTCGCCGAAAGTCAATTTCGTATGGTACAGGTATGGAACATCGACTCCGATCCATGCAGATATCATACCACGGTCATACATCCTCCTCTATGCGTGCGGGTATTATAGCAAAATCGTAAGCCGAGCCGCAGGCTTAGGGAAATCCAAAATATATCGAAATGCGTTCCAGTTCATCCAGACCAACCCCCATGTTTCGTGAAATCTCTAGTTCTTCTTCTCTTCTTTCTTCTCCTCCTTCTTGGTCCTGCTCTTGAAAAAGTCCGAAATACCGTCCTTGAACTTCTCCCAGGGTGTGCGATTCAGGTGGTTACTGAGTTGGCGGTACTTGTACATCTCAGCCCAGCAGTCGCGACCCCATTCGCAGCCAGCCATGTTGACCATAAAGTCACGATCTTGCTCTTGGTAGTGGATATCGGGGTTATCGCCATTCTCACCGCATGCGCCTGGTGGGAAACTCATGATTTGGCGTTGCTGGATAAAGGCGACGTGAGGCCTGATCCAGGGCTGATTCTGGTACATGTACTCGAAAGCGTCCTGCTCCTTGTGCTCCCACTCCATATGCTTTTGTTCGTAGCCAACAGGATCCCACCAGATGTCAAGCAGCCTGTCGGTCCACGCGCTTCTTCGCACCATGAATGAGCCCAGATTGAAACCGCCACAGTCTTGGGGTAAGAGCATATTGACAGAGTCGACCTTGCCGTCTCCCACTGGTGAGCGTGTCTCGGGGTCGAGGTATTCGTCGGTCAGAGGATGGGTGATGTTGAGGGGGTTGTAAACGTTGATGTCGCGATATGTCACGTCTTGTAGCTGTTTGAAGACATGCTTCTGAAGGGAGTATGTCGGCTCCATAATGAACGTGTTCGTATCAAGCCACCAGAACCTGCGAAATATTAGCCTGGACCACATCATCTTCACGCAGCACGTACCATTCAGCATGCGGGTACTTGCGCATGGCGTTGCGAATGGTGTCAACCTTCTCCCAACTTTCTCTCCACTCGTGCGCATAACGCTTCTTGGTGCTCATGTCTACGATCTCCAATTCGTAGCCCCAATTCCTTGTGTACTTCTTCTTATTCTTGACGCTGTCGCGTTCGATAGCCCATTCGCGGGGACCCTTCCATTCCATAACACCTCCACCTTGGTTCGCTGCGAGTATAACGACGTATTTGCTGCCGCCGCCGAACCATGCGGACCGTCTGTACATACGACGGATGGCTAGATCTGTCAATGCCAATCGCGAGAGGGGGGCTTGGAGGGGGTGATGACTTACGTGTGTTTGAATTGTAGAAAATGAAGAAGAATACTACGAATAGTACCAATGCGACCCGTTTCCGCAGACGCCATATTGTCCAGGCTATGCCATTCAAAGCACGCATTACTTTGTTCTGCGACCGCCCACGACCTAGTTTCTCCTTATCACCGTGGTTGAAGGGCAAGCTTGTAGAAATCCTGCGAAAGTGCTTGCCGAAGAAGCCTTGGTTTCTTGGAGTGAAGCCGGGGTATCCTTTCACCTCAGCACTCCGCTGTTGAGCCGATGCCCAGGTGACATTGTGTGAAGAGGAGCCATTCGGGTAGGGGCTCGTCCGCCCACTGTTATCGTATGGGGTATTCAAGCCCGGGCTCGACCATCCGCCTGGCTGAGGCGAAGGCGATCTCGACATTTCGAAGGCGCCTGGCGTGCCAGGAATGGAGGGTAAGGCTTCGCCCAGCGAGCGGCCGTGAAGACCGCTGGTTGTGCCTAACCTGCTCCGCGACTCTGCACTATCCGGAAGGTTGATATTACTGGGCGGCAATTGCCTTGCAGCAGAAGAGCGCCTCCTGCGTTGGCCACTGGAAGCGGAGAAGGAGGATTGGGAAGCCAGCGTGACTTTGGCGGCGTTGGACGGGCCGGGTGGGATGGAGGAGCGACGCCGACGTGAGGATCGTGGCGACGGGACAGTCAGCTACAGTCGCCGATGTGATTCGACGGCAGCTGCTCGAGCGTGCGGCACTGCAGAGGCAGCGTTGTGGTATTACTGAGGACAGCTG